TTTTTTTTTGTCAGTATATTATATAGCAAATTTTAACCATGCAACAAATAAAGTTAATGCCTGCAAGTTTTGTCAATATATTATATATCAAATTCAAACTATGCAACTAATAAAGGTAATAACCGCAATCTTCGACTAAAATGATTCTGTACTTGTACAATGGTTTTTTTAATTTGAATTTCAATTGAATAGCTTCCACTCTTAAAAATATTTAGAAAAGGTTACTAAAGGTAAAATTGAAATTTTTTGGCGGGATTTCAATACAACCATATATATATATATATATATTTGCAGTCTTTAGAGCAAATCAATCACCTCCACAATTAATCTAAGCGGTTAAACTAACCTTCAATGTTTAAACCCAAATCTCAATGGACCCACACACTCACTGCTAGAGATACACATTTACTCCTTCATTGGCAATAAACGTGAATAATATGATTGTACAACAAAGCTTTTGTTTGAGGCACAAAAAAGTTATTCTCATTACTTATCCTAGTGTAATAGAAAAGTTAGACTTTTCTGTTTATAATACATTTTAGTATATTAGTATACGATACATTTTAGTATATTAGTATATGATACCACTTCATCCTCATTCTAATTCCTTAATTGATTATTAACATTTAAACACAGCCTCATTTTGCCATCACCCTGACCCCATCCCCACCACCACCTTCTCCCTTCTCGTGCACTACCTTCCAACCATCAATACTACAAAAATCACCAAAAACAAGCTAGCAAACGGCAGTTATTTACTTTACAAGGATATATGTCATCTACATGTTCCTTATTTGTGCATAATGCAATTTAAGAGAGAAGGAATACACCACATCAATTAGATTGTGATTGCCGTTGAGTTTGTTGAGCCATCCACTACTCATATAACACAAGATCTCAGGAATTTATTAACTCATCCGAGGTATCCTGTTTAAACTTGCTTCAAAATTACGTAGCAATATAACATTGAAGGGAAAAAATCATCAAATGAGAATAGCAGCATGTACCATGTTCTTGAAAATACCCTAGACTGAAAATTTTGGGGTTTTGGCCTCTCATTCATATAGACATGCAATACAACTATGTGTAAACGCTTTTAGGTTAATGAAATAAATCCACAACTCAAGCAAATAAAATATCCACAGCAATTGCATTACATAACTTGGACAAGGAGAAATGTCTTCTGCCCAAAATCAAATGTCAACACGTTCAAGCTCCACAAGATAAGCCAAATATGTTTCACGCAACCAAGATAAAGATGTACCTCATATGAGACGTAGAAATGCTTATTTGTGCAATTCTCCAATATTACTCGAATGACACGGAGAACCTGCAAAACAGCATCCCTCGGGAAGGGTGGGTCAGATTCCAAAAAGTTGTCCTCAAGCTGCAAATCCTTCCTTGGTTTGATGTATTTCTCAAAAAAGGTGTCGAAATGATTAAACAAGTCGACCCAATGATGGAAATCTCCCTGCATTGGCATAATCATCATCACTAAACAATGTGAAATAAATAGATCTGACAATTCTAACAGAGCGAGCATTTACCTTATCAAACTGCCAAGAAAAATTTTTCAGTGTTTCTTCAATATTCTGTAGTGGTGCAGCAGTAACATGGTTGATGAAGGATTTGATCTTTGAAGGCTACAGAAAAAAAAAAAAAAAAAAAAAAAAAAAAAAAAAAAAAAAAAAAGAAAGTCCATTATCTCAAATATCATAAATTTCGATATTTACCACAACTTTTTTAAAAATGACTATTAAAATAAGACGAGCAGGAAGGAGTAAAACAAGCGAATGGGAGGAATTATGGACAATTTACTGTGAAAGCAATAGAAAACAGATTGTATGAACAGGTAAGGAATGGTAAAGCTAGCAAATTAAGTCAAGCTAAAATCAGATCAAGCAAGTGTTCCATTCCTTAAATAGTGTCTAAGGAACATTACAACAAAACTGACTCCAAGGCTCAGATTCCCATAGCAATAACAATGAAAAATTAGTATATACAAGCGTTAGTGTAATCAAGTAACTGTTTCACCAATACACGACTAGTACACACATGACTGTACCTTTGTCTATTACAGCTTCAAACAATTATGACCCTACCAGTAAACAAATGTTAAAAAATGAAAGCAAAATCAACTAGTAACAACCTAAAACCCAACAATAATCAAGCTTCTTAACTACATACGTAATAGATGAGCGTAAAGCTAAATAATCTGAACACAAAATATAATTATGTAACAAAAAATCAACTTCTATACAAAATCACTTAAACCAAAACACAACAAAAAACTCCCACAGTACAATTTGATTAGAACTAGTGACGGTTAAGTGATGGGTAAAAAACTATGAAAAATGCTACAAGTACATAACACTCGCATGGAGTGGGGGCCACTTGATTTTTTATTTTTGGTGGGTCCTTATGTACACTCCTATGTACAATATTATGTACCTATAGCATTACTCAAAAACTATAATATTGCCTAATAAACTATTGAGCTCTGTAAATCCAAAACATTTCCAAATCAACAAACACAGGCCATATAGGCCATGTTTGGTAGCTAGTTGACAACTTGTGATTTTCGAGCTTATAGCTTTGGCTGAAAAGCGATAAAAGTATTTGGTAAAACTAGTTGATAAGCTAGCTTAAATAAAAATTTTAGCGAGCTTATTTAAAAATCTACCTGAATAACCGAAGAAGCATAAGCTCGAACATTCTAAAAAAACCCGTCCTACCAACGAAGCTTACTTGAATACGTGAAACTTATAAGCTAACCAAATAAGTAAGCTAGCATATTTTGTTACCAAGCATAGCCCCATAATAGCATGCTCACCGGCACTTTATAGGAAAATCAATTGCAAAATCAATTAATCAAATACAAGAAAGAAACTTTCACTATACAACTTAACTACAACTAGTGATGGCCGCGGTTTAAGTGGGAAAAAACAGAATTTTGGCTAAAACAATTTGAAAGGGCGTGTGTTAACACACAAACTCACTTAACTATTGAAACACTACGAATCCAAGTTGTTTTCAAATCAATAGACATAATCCCCTGCTCACTCAAACATTACAAACAAAATGGAATGCAACACCAAAACGCCCCAAACAGAAAGGTCAAAAGTTAATCAACCAAAGAAGTCCCATTAAAGATAAATTCAAACACAATTCAATAATGATCGATGCAGAAAAAAAAAAAAAAAATGATTCCACTGACCACTTCAAGTGCCCTTCTCCGCTTCAACTTCATCTCTCAAGATCAACCAAATGCGATCATTACCCGATTCAGTAAGCAGCCGTCAGCAGCCAACTATCGTATCGACCGATTCAAGTCGGCGTGCACGAATCAATCAAAAAACAATACAAAGAGAAGGGTCAAGCCGGGTTTGAGAGAAGTCGGGTGAACAATCAGATAAGGGGGAAAAAGACAGCGAATAACTGATCGAATAAGAAAGGAATGAAATTTGAATAGAAAGTACAGTACGACTCTCTGTGCTTATCTGAAGCATATATCAAGATCGTGATTTTCTAGGGTTTTCGGAGAGGGTTTTTGCAGGCGATTGGTGATCGGAGAGAACTGTATGGAGAGGAAGGAAAATTTACCCCGACGAGGGTGGAAGTGATGCTCTATCATATCATATCATGTATATCAAGAAAAGTAGAGCACAC